TACATATACCTACCTAAAACATCCGTTTATATAATTATATTAGGCTGTCCTAGAATTCCTTATGACGCTTATACAAGCTAATAGTCTTGAATCAACTGAGGAAATTAATCTCTAATTTCTCTTGGTTTTGAAATTCAGTTATTGTTTTTTTTATTATTCAGCAAAATATTTTTTCAATTCTAAATACAATTTTGTTGATCGAAGAATATATTTTGTTATTTTAACATATCCACTCTCTGAAGAACTGAAAATGTTGTCCCTTGATGAAATGATATAATCATTTCAATCAACAGGATCGTTCATAAAAGCAGATATTGTATTATGGGAACAAAATAGTCTTTGTTTATTCAACCAATTCCTGCTGTTAATTTGAATCAGTAATGAATCAAATGAATTGCGGATTGAAAACTGGAGATAAACATTTGTTGCTGTGACAAAATATTTTGTCGTGGATATATGACACTCAGATTTTGTTGAATTTTCAAAAATTTTGTAGTTTCAAATAATTTTTTTCTGTGTAGAAGAAGCTCCATATCACCACAGTTGAGAGAATATTACATGTAATATTCTCTCAACTGTGATATCACTTTCAACAAAACCACAACGTTTTATTGAAATTGGTAGAAAGACACTTGAGAAATGAATGGAAAACACAATTTTCATGGAAATATTAATACCCTGTATCTCGAAAACGAAGCAAGTGAGGATACATGTTTAAATGAACTTTATTTCCTTAAATATCACAAGGAATCACACCTTGAATTTTTTCGGTGTTATTTAGATACAATACTTTCAATCAATTTTGCAATCAATATCTTTTTGACAAAATTGAGTTAGTTTCAGAAAATTATATTATAGAACAATATCATCTTCTGTTGTTCCAGCATGCAGTCGAATGTTGTGAAGATCATGTATGATTATCATAATCAAATATGCACTTTATGATTTCGACAAAATCATACCTATTCATCCAAACAAATACATTTTATGCAATCATATTTAAATCAATGATGGATAGGTATATGTGGCACAGATTCTACTAGTATGTACACCTCCATTTTAATGACAGGACAGTACATGAAATTTAATCGGCGAATGTTATTATTTTAAATGTGATGGAATTCCAAAAATACGCGCTCATCAAAACCTTGTTTACATAGTATTAATTTCGTATAAATTTACATGTTGTTGTCTGTATTTGCATGGGTTTGCATTTTATGAATTTCATGAAAATTCATAAGCGTTTACTTGCTTTTCTTCGCGAGCGGTTCGGTGGTTGAACTTCTCATTATTAATGAATTTTTATTCAATTTGTGTGTGCTCTGTTTGTTTTACGTGTTATTTCTGTCTGATATTCGAATGGAACTCGAGACTTACACAAACATTAGCCAGATTCGAAATTTTCAGACCCTAGCGGTTTGCCGTGGAGCTAGAAAACAAAGCCGAGAACTTTGTAGAACTACAGTGTGGATATCAAAATGCTGATTCTGTTCGTGACATTGGATTGGTTCAGTTTTATGACAATGAAAAACCTCGCATTTATGTACGACGAGCCTTCGTATAAGCTTGCAGTAGATTCTTCAACCAAAAACAAGAAATAAGAAACTTTTCGTCTGTTATTGATGAGAAATTCTCTTGTTCGGATATTTCGAAGTGATATCGATTCGTGATTGCATGCTGTACTGCATACTGGCTCAAATAAATCAAAATACAAATGAGAGGGTAATTTGAAGAACAAAATTCAGAGGTGGTTCTTCGTAATTTGTTGAGTTCTTACTCATATATGTATATCCTCCACAGTTTGTTAACATTTTCGATGTGTGGTAATACCTTAATTTGATAGCCAAACCCATACAGCATTTAATAGTCATCAAATATTGCCAGAACATTGCAGTTGCAATATTACAATAATATTGTAGAAACATCGTTATTGTATATATGTGATTCCAATGATAAGATAGAAATTGTCGCAAAATTTCTTGAAGTCCACCGACATATTCATTTCTGATTTCTTGCATTTAAGTTGAATATTACATTCTGAAATATGCAATGACTGCACATTGATGTCCTTACAAGATATTTATTTCAGTTATCTTTCAACTTATCGAAAAAGTGAAAACTGTCGTTTATACATTTCTCACGGAAAAGTCAGTGGCGTAGTAGTAGATATATAGAACCCAAAGTTATGTTTCATTAAATGAAACATTATCTATATTTTTTTTATATTTGGAACATCGTTGTCCTGAGCTTCCTGAAAATATATAACACTTATGAGGAATTCCAAGTATTTCCTATGAATTTATATCATTTCTAGTTTTTCAGTAGATATTTTATCGATGGGCCATGTCAATATGTGGCAACACTGTCCATTTCACGATTTTTCTTATTGACCTTGTTGCTGATACAGTGTTTCTTCACACACTAGTTTTAATTCCACCAACATTCAACATTTACCAATATTCAGATTCATTGACTATGGAAGCTGTGAACCTTGTAGGTGGCTATGAAAAGAAGCGAGTGCTGAATGTTTCATAATCTCAGTTACCTACCTAGAAATTTTTCAAAATTTCCATGCGACGGCGAATGATATTCTAGGATATCAACACTACGAAGATTTATCCCAACCATAAATTTTGTTGTAGTTTTAATATCCTGAATATTCAGTTTTCACGATATCGTATGAAAAATTTGTAAATTCGACAGGATTATGAAAAACATTCTATACATTCGCTTGATTCCATAGCCACCTATACTTATAAGGTCCACAGCTTCTAAAGTGAATAAATAGTGCTGAATGATGAAGTTCCTAAAACCTTTTTCAATAGTTTTTCAAGTTATTCGAAGAACTTGATCGAAATGAATGATACTTTATCATGGCCTCCTTTGCTTTCTTATGAGTTGACGTTTTCAAATTCAAAATCTGACTTTTCGTCTTCCAGAAACCATCCACTTAATTTTCCAGATACGAACCTGGACTTTTTATTTCAATTCTTCATACCTTTGATGGATAGGCGAAAGCTATGAGCAATCAGAAATTTTCATTCCCGAATTCGTATTTCGTTTGCAAAAGTTGACAGTTTCTGTTTATTTTTTAATATCATCCGATACGAACACAGAAAATAATTTTGTACGTAAAGTTAATGAACGGCAGTCGTCAATTTTTTTAACATTAATATTACGAATCGATGAATATTACAATCATTTCTGATGATGGGTTCATACCGCAAGACACTGAAACAATGAACGAGCCAACATTGAACAATGAACGAAAAACATCAAAAGTTAATCATTTTTCTTATTCATGTGATGAAAAAATTCATTGAATCAACGTTTGATGTTTATTGATCTATGTTTTTCATCATTGGAGCAATAAACTTTTCGTCATAGATCTATCAACAACAAACATAAGAAAATAATGAATGGTTTTCATTGTTTCAATGAACACTAAACGTTGATTTCATGAAATGAAACATCAACTTCCAAAACAGGTGCCAAATTAATGCTGCCTACCCATGGATCAATCACGCCAAACATTATTACTATGAAAAGGTTTCATAATACGCGGTGAATTTTTCATTTGCCGTTTTATTTTATTTCTATTCGTTCAGTTGTTGATGAAAAGTTGAAAGGGCTGAGTCGTGTTTTGTGTTTCTGTGGCTCGTAGAATTCCTACCTATTTGTGAAATTGTGCCAGATCATCAAAGGGATACAAAACCTAACATATTTGAGAAAGGTGAGACCTGTTAATTGCGATTTTTGCAATTTTCAGAAATTTTTGCAATTTTCAGGAATTTTTGCAATTTTTGCAATTTACAGGCATTTTGCGATTTTTGCAATTTTCAGGAATTTTTTGAATTTTTACAATTTTCCGGAATTTTTGCAATTTTCAGAAATTTTTGCAATTTTTAGGCATTTTTGCGATTTTTGCAATTCTCAGGAATTTTTTGAAATTTTTACAATTTTCCGGAATTTTTGCAATTTTGGAAATTTTCAGGAATTTTTGCGATTTTTGCTATTTTCAGGAATTTTTGCGATTTTTGCTCTTTCAGGAATTTTTGAAACAGAAATGCTTCAGAAAATATACAAATATACTGGGCATTCCAATTATAAAAATTGATTGAGATGTTATCAGATCTAGTAACCTAACCTAAGATATGTTACCAGATCTAGTAACCTAACCTAAGATATGTTACCAGATCTGGTAACCCAACCTAAGATATGTTACCAGATCTAGTAACCTAACCTAAGATATGTTACCAAATCTAGTAACCCAACCTAAGATATGTTACCAGATCTAGTAACCTAACCTAAGATATGTTACCAGATCTGGTAACCCAACCTATGATATGTTACCAGATCTAGTAACCTAACCTAAGATATGTTACCAGATCTAGTAACCTAACCTAAGATATGTTACTAGATCTAGTAACCTAACCTAAGATATGTTACCAGATCTAGTAACCTAACCTAAGATATGTTACCAGATCTGGTAACCCAACCTATGATATGTTACCAGATCTAGTAACCTAACCTACGATATGTTACCAGATCTAGTAACCTAACCTAAGATATGTTACTAGATCTAGTAACCTAACCTAAGATATGTTACCAGATCTAGTAACCTAACCCAAGGTATGTTACCAGATCTAGTAACTAAAAATGTATAAGGTGAGCGCATTTTTTATACGTCCATGGCTGAGCGAATATTTGTTTTTTGAATATCGTCCAAGTTTATCAGTCTTCGATCATTTAGTGTATTTTTGACATTTCGGAAACATTTTTAGTTGACTTCATTAAAAAATATTCATTACATTTGTTTTTCAATACAATTAGGTAGATTTCAACAAAAAATAAAGAAAAATGATATTTCATCAAGGAAACCAGTGTTCTGCGACTGCCTTGTAAATGTTTGTTATATTATTCATCAGGTCACATCAAATTAGTGGATGTACTAGATAATTTTGGGCCGATTTTGGGTTTTTCAAAATTTTAGAAATCAATTACTCTGATGCGTGAAAAAATTGTCCCCTTATTTCTGATAGTGACAATACTGTTGACAACATTATCTTCGACGACGACTCCACTGTTAAATACCAATAGAATTTGTTCGTTACATCGATAACTGGCGAACATAGTTTCATGCTTATTTTTCATTGATTCAATGAAGAAAATCATCAAGTGATGTCTATCGTTCGTAATATCAATAACCGCCGATCATAGATCCATGCTAGCTGATTATTGATTCAATGTTCAGCTGTTATAAACCGAGTCTGTCCTTCGTAACTGGCACTTACATATTCATGCTTACTGTTAATTGATACAATGTACATCAACCATAAACCAATGTTTATCATCATAAATCCATGCTCGCTGTTTATTGATTCAATGTACAACAACCATGAACCAATGTAAATCCATTCGTGATATCAATAACCGGCAAACATAGATCCATGACCAATATTCGTTGATTCAACGTACTGCAGTCATGACTTTATCATCAAGAAAATTTACGTACGACCGTTCATTGTATTAATGACACCCGTCATCGACCCAAAATTAATGTTGACGTTCACTGATTTGATGTACTTTTTTATTAATATAACGTACCTTTTTCGTTCTGTGAAACTGATATCAATTTTAGTTAACGAAACATTCGAAAATGACAATTTGTGATTTTGTGCACAGCTGTCGTCTATCCTAGAGTATGGAATAGTCCAGGTCAGTATTTAAAAAAAAGAATGTCGGATTTCAAATTTGAGAATGCCAACTTGTAGGAAAACGAGAGTGGCCATGATGCAGTGTCATTGATTTCGATGAATTTTTTATTCGAATAACTTGAAAACAGAATATACAGGGTGTTTCAACACTCAGTATCAATATTTCAGGGTCTTATTTCTAAGATAAAAATAAGACTTATTCCCTATGAATATGTTTCCGCGAACGCTTCGTTATCTATCTACAGAACGTTGAAATTTACAGATTTATTTCCGTTGTTTTCTTCATATCTTTTTCAGTTCTCGAGATATCCAGATTGAACTCAGCTGAGTTTTAGTGTTCACATTATACAGTATGTCGAATGATTGTGAAAAGCAACAGAGCAAGAGGGTCGAGCCCTTTTTTGCTCCATAAGCTTTTCTGTGGTGTGCCACTGGTAGATATTGAAATACGAAATTATGTCTTTGTTGTGTTTGTGATCTTTCTTGTCTTGTGTATTTTCTACGTGCGACCGTCATCGAGAATTTTGTTTTGTGATTTGTAAGATTCAATTAATGGTTTTGACAAAAGGGAGGAACCAATCATCGCGACTTAAACAAAAAACGATTTTTATTCAGTTTGAAATCTTTATTAGGAGTTTCCATACATATAACCTAAAGATTGAGGAACCGAACGAGCCATGACTTTTTATAGAAGGTGCTGAAAAATAAGAGAATCTTCAAACTTGGTTGCTCTGTATATCGGTAACAGAGCGTTTGCGGACATACTTATGAGAAAGAAGTCTCGTTTTGAATTGAAAAAGTGAGTCTCTAATAGTTTGATACTGAATTTCGAAACACCCTGTAAAAAAATGTTCCATATCTTAGGTTAGGTTACTAGATCTGGTAACATATCTTAGGTTGGGTTATCTGATCTGGTAACATATCTTAGGTTAGGTTACTAGATCTGGTAACATATCTTAGGTTAGGTTACTAGATCTAGTAACATATCTTAGGTTGGGTTACCAGATTTGGTAACATATCTTAGGTTAGGTTACTAGATCTGGTAACATATCTTAGGTTAGGTTACTAGATCTAGTAACATATCTTAGGTTAGGTTACTAGATCTGGTAACATATCTTAGGTTAGGTTACTAGATCTAGTAACATATCTTAGGTTAGGTTACTAGATCTGGTAACATATCTTAGGTTGGGTTACTAAATCTTGTAACATATCTTAGGTTGGGTTATCAGATCTGGTAACATATCTTAGGTTAGGTTACTAGATCTGGTAACATATCTTAGGTTAGGTTACTAGAGCTAGTAACATATCTTAGGTTGGGTTACCAGATCTGGTAACATATCTTAGGTTAGGTTACTAGATCTGGTAACATATCTTAGGTTAGGTTACTAGATCTAGTAACATATCTTAGGTTAGGTTACTAGATCTGGTAACATATCTTAGGTTAGGTTACTAGATGTAGTAACATATCTTAGGTTAGGTTACTAGATCTTGTAACATATCTTAGGTTGGGTTACTAGATCTGGTGACATATCTTAGGTAAGGTTACTAGATCTGGTAACATATCTTAGATTGGGTTACCAGATCTGGTAACATATCTTAGGTTAGGTTACTAGATCTGGTAACATATCTTAGGTTAGGTTACCAGATCTAGGTAACATCTCAATCAATTTTTTTAATTGGAATGCCCAGTATATTTGCATATTTTCTGAAGCATTTCTGCTTCGAAAATTCCTGAAAATAGCAAAAATCGCAAAAATTCCTGAAAATAGCAATAATTGCAAAAATTCCGGAAAATTGTAAAAATTTCAAGAAATTCCTGAGAATTGCAAAAATCGCAAAAATGCCTAAAAATTGTAAAAATTCCTGAAAATTGCAAAAATTTCTGAAAATTGCAAAAATTCCGGAAAATTGTAAAAATTCAAAAAATTCCTGAAAATTGCAAAAATCGCAAAAATGCCTGAGAATTGCAAAAATTGCAAAAATTCTTGAAAATTTCTGAAAATTGAAAAAATTGCAAAAAATCCTGAAAACTGCGCAAATCGCAAAAATGCCTTAAAATTCCTGAAAATTGCAAAAATCGAAATTAACAGGTTTCACAAATATGTTAGGTTTTGTATCCCTTTGATCTGGCACAATTTCACAAATAGGTAGGAATTCTACGAGCCACAGAAACACAAAACACGACCCAGCCCTTTCAACTTTTCATTAACAACTGAACGAATAGAAATAAAATAAACCGGCAAATGAAAAATTCACCGCGTATTATGAAACCTTTTCATAGTAATAATGTTTGGCGTGATTGATCCATGGGTAGGCAGCATTAATTTGGCACCTGTTTTGGAAGTTGATGTTTCATTTTATGAAATCAACGTTTAGTGTTCATTGAAACAATGAAAACCATTCATTATTTTCTTATGTTTGTTGTTGATAGATCTATGACGAAAAGTTTATTGCTCCAATGATGAAAAACATAGATCAATGAACATCAAACGTTGATTCAATGAATTTTTTCATCACATGAATAAAAAAAATTATTAACTTTTGATGTTTTTCGTTCATTGTTCAATGTTGGCTCGTTCATTGTTTCAGTGTCTTGCGGTATGAATGAACCCATCATCAGAAATGATTGTAATAATCATCGATTCGTAATATTAATGTTCAAAAAATTGACGACCGCCGTTCATTAACTTTACGTACAAAATTATTTTCTGTGAATATGAATAACTATTTTCTGCTTTGAACGATTTGAATTCGAATCACACTGTCCGTTTGCCCAGTCCTTCATCTATAATCTCGTAATTCTCCAAAACATAAGGTTCTCCACATGAAATCGGAAAATTTCGGAAATTTCAAAGGAACTTTTTTTTTAATTTTGACAGTAGAGGCATGTAGATAATCTCATTATCTTGGGACAGTTCTCGAATTTTCTCCTTATCTCTTTTTGGTTTTGCAGTCATAACTTTTTACCTCGTCAACCAATTTTCGAAATCTCAGACTCATTTTGAAACACTTTTTTTTTATCGCTTGGAACGCACTTCTTTTGATCCATGACTTATGGGACCCCCTGTATAAAGAACCTTATGTTTCATAGAGATTATAGCTAAAGCACTGGGCGAGCGAACAGTTTAATCCGAATTCAAATTGTTCAATGCAGAAAAAAGTTATTAATATTTTAACAGGGACAAAATTTTTGGGTGTGACGAAATCAGTGTTGCCTAGTTTATATCACTATCAGTTCGCTAAATTGTAAAATGCAATTGCCGAAGTGTGCCTATGTCGCACATAGGAATAACACCAACGGATAATGACGTAATCCTGTTAACTGATGCGAGATACTTGTAGCGGCGCCACCTATCTAGTTTTAAGTTCGTTATTAGTCGCTTCTCATTACCATAACTTCAGCTCGTGTTAATTCCATTATCCTTCGTGCATGGGTCTTGTTACTCCAAGGACCTCCTTGACCTCAACAAAATCAATGACAATGTAAAAGGAGAGCAATGTTTCCCAAAAATGTCGAATGATAATTACCTAATATCTTTCACGTTTTATTCTGACTTTTTTCCTTATCTAGAAATTTTGTAATCTGACCAAGCACAAATCAGAAATGACCTGTATTATCTGCTGACGATTTTAGGAGTGTACTGGGTGTAACAGGATCGTGGTACACCCCCTTTTTCTTCATTAGTTTAAGATATGATTGATTAAAATTTTGAATGACCCGTCCACTTGAAAAATTCCATGTTTTGACATGAATAGATTTTATTTTTCACTTCCAGTTTCACCGGAAATAGTACTAACTTTTGATTTTCAAATGGAACACCCTATATATCATTGCAATTTCGGATTCTCCATCATTTTCTGAATCCAATGATACCACATAAGTGACATTTCAAACTTCATTAATGATTTTAATTTCATTTTTCATCTTCCATCTGAGTAGGCCATGACTATTCTCATCGAGTCTGATGTACTCATATCGACAGGTGTAATGCTAAAAAAATGTAATCCTGTCAAAAATGCCAACTTTCTTGATTCGTCAGCAAATTGAGTTCATCAGAATGGTTTGGTGTAACATGATTGTGTTACACCCGGTATATAGGTGCTCTGGAGGCTTAAGGGGATAGATGAAATACAACAACAGATACTCCAAAAGTTGTTCTCCTTGATATATGGAAATTGACGTGTTACGCCAAATTTTCACAGTGTCTTCAGTTGAAGAAATATTGACTGCTGCTTGTTTTGAAATTTTCACCCTGTATTTCGAAGTGAATATAATAATCTGAAAAAATCGTAGAAACCATCCATATTTCTCAAAAAACGCCAAATGATTTTCAGAAGAAAAAACAATAAGTGTTACAAAGTCTGTCGACCACGAAAATATTTTTTAATGAGTAGTGTAACTAGTTTCGACCACAGGCCATCATCAGTCACAAAGAAGATGTATTCGGAAGTATCTAGGAGATGATAATGTAAATTGATAAGGGGTCAAGATAGAGTCACAGAATCGATACACTAAAATGAGCAATACATATTGGGAGCAAAAATTTTTATATAAAATGAACAGCCTATATAGGTCAAAATTTCACAAAACCAGTCCTGAATTTGAAATAGGTTCAAATCTGGAAGAAGTCTAGGTCAGCATTATATCATTGAAGAACATTGGCACAATTTATCAAACAATTAAAAAAAAAACTCTCACGTAAGATTCATCAGGTTATGCAAATAGCAAATGGAAGCTACAAATGAATTCGAAGAGCCAGAAACATCATCAATCACATAAAAAGTGAACCATGACAGAGAACAACTGACAAGTGACAAGTGACAAGTCAATGTCAATAACACATGACATACAAATAAAATTGAATCAAGTGATGACACATATGACAAAAATGATAAAACTAATAAGACATAAGACATTGACAACAACCAAATATTTAGAAAACAATGGGAAGAAGAGATTGGGAAAAGAACAACAATAATTGTCTCGTGAGAGAAATTTAAAAAAATGTTTTTGATAAACTATTGTGCCAATGTTCTTCAATAATATAATGCTGACCTGGTTTTACTGAACTTTTTCCAGATCTGAACTCATTTCAAATTCAGTGCTGATTTTGTGAAATTTTGACCCAGGCTGTTGATTTCATATGAAAATATTTGCTCTCAATATGTATTGCTAAGGTTAGAATATCGATTCTGTGACTCTTTTTTGACTCCTTAACAATTTCCATGACTATCTTCTAGGTACTTCGTACATCTTTTTTTTTGTCTGATAATGGCCCGTTGCCGAAACTAGTTACACTACTTAATGAAAAATATTTTCGTGGTCGACAGATTTTTATTGGTTTTTCTTCTAATAATAATCTGAGATTTTGTTGATGGGACCCCGAGATCTATGTTATTCCGTAGAATTTTTACGTGATACATTTGCTACTCTAAGAATGAAAATGTATAGGCTACTGGTACTGGTACTGGTGGGGGACGTTTCCACGTCAGCAACTAGTCCCCAATGGGACCTTTTTGCCAACCCCAAGTGTTTTCAATGACTGATGTGGTTCGCTCAAGAGAGCTGGCTAACATCCTTTTCAGGCACCGCCCATCAGCTCTCTTTTTCAGAGTTTTTCAGCTGTGTTTTGTAGGCTAGTAATGTACTCACTACCATATGCGCAGTGGCAGGCCTGCTAACTATCATCGTTAACCCCCGAGACCGAGGTCTACTTAAGCAGCTGGCCCGCTCTCACGCTCAGCTGGTAGTTTTCCGCACCCACCTACATACACGTAGGCTAGTAATGTACTCACTACCATATGCGCAGTGGCAGGCCTGCTAACTATCATCGTTAACCCCCGAGACCGAGGTCTACTTAAGCAGCTGGCCCGCTCTCACGCTCAGCTGGTAGTTTTCCACACCCACCTACATACACCGTCCTACTTCTTCTCTGATGCTCACAACCACATCGTCATATCTTTCTGCGTGTTCTGTGTAGGCTTTGTTACTAACTCCATGCGCCACTTTAGGAGCAGCACTGTTAATTGGAACGCAACAGCGAATCGTGCAGGACTATCCCCAGCCGATGCTCCGAAACTTTACAATATTTAATTCGTAAATAAAATATTGAAAAAAAGTTCCTTGCCCGTGCTGGAAATCGAACCCACGACCTTGCGGTCGTGAGACGGACGCTCTTCCACTGCGCCAATCCCGGCATGTATAGGCTATATAATTCACCTTCTGAATAACTCACCGTTATTTAGGGATATCCTGTGCTGCTTATTCTGTTCAGGATATCCAAGATCTCCATTGGGGATTGACATATTGTCAGAACAGCTGTTGCAAGAGTTCGCACTGCTACTGGATATCATTCCTCGATGTCTTCTTCGATTCAGAGTACTGTTTGAATGGTTCTTTTTATTACCAGATGCATAAATGATTTCCCCTGGAACGATAACGAAATATATGAAAACGTTTACCTAAACGGAGGTCATGTGATTGTGCTGCGAATTGATTTGTGCTGCGAATTGATCTGTTCTGCCCGAATTGCCGGCTCGAAATTTTTTAGGAATTAATGTTTTCATCGCGTTCCACATTTATAACAAGAACCCACTATGGAAATTCCTCATGATAACCTTTTTCATCACACATGGTCAATGTTCTGAGGACAAGAGTGATAAAAGTTTTTTATACACCAAGATAGTGAATAAAATTAGTATTACCCGGGGACCAAGATTATATTCCGAGGCTACAGCCGTGGATATAATATTCTTTTTCTACTCACATAACTAAAATGGCATTTTGCGTACGGATGCGTACCACGCTAAATGATTTATTGATCACGGATTGTCGATCTGTGATTTATTCAAAATATTAAACACGTTACCATGGCAACACGATTCCTTAAACACATTACCATGGCAACACAGTTCATTAAACACAGCATAAGTAATTTGAGACATGTCTGTCAATTGTATTAACAGTCAACTGATATTTTCAAATTCTGTATCAGAATTATTCAAACAATATTCGTATGTATCAGAATTCTACAATGAAAATATATGCGAAAAGTAGACGAAAGTGAAATCGAAGAGAATGTTCTGGTACTTGCATATCTCCAAGAAGTGTAAGAATGAAGCATCCATCCTTGAGAACAATCTATTTACTCTGCGCTAAGCATGACAATAAACGTGAAACAAAGGATAGTAAGCAATGGACACATCAACAACCATTATCACTTATACGTGTCTCGCTGGTTGCATGCAGTTGCATGTATTATGTTCTCAATTTCCATCCGTTACGAATTATTTTGCAGGTTAGCAGGAATAGCAGGTATGTTAATGTAATTTTCGGAGTTCGTAGAAAAAGCATAGTATGTAACGCGTTAATAAACTCTTCTAGACACTCGTTTATTAAACACTCGCTCCGCTCTGCTCCGCTCGTGCTTAAAATACTCGTTACTAAAAGGCCGTTTATAACACTTGTTACATAATATACTATTAAGGTATAACAAAGTATCTGAAGTATCATTGTTAGCTTCAGAGTTGCTTGTGTATTCCTACCACTCTAATCTTGGATCTGATTCAATGAGTTACTTTCAATCTGGAGCTGTTGCACTCGTAGATCTTAGTTGGTTTATAACTGACGATATTAGTGCATCAGAGAAAGTAAATGACGTTCAGGGCGTCAATACAACTGAATAGTGAGTTGATGATGAGATGCAACAGATAGTTGACATTTAGGGAATACTGTGTTGTAGATAATAGAAGCTCTAAGAGTACTGTGGTATAATTGCATCGTGAGAGGTCCACAACTTCATGGATAAATCAACCCTCGAGGACATTAGTAATTCAACAGAATAGTAGGAATAGCAGAGCATAGGAAAGTGACTAGTATACAAGTTTAGGAGTTCTTGGTGTAATACTCGGTAGATTGGTTAAGAAATATCTAGTGCAAACCCTGGATTGTATGTTTTCTGTCTCTTCTCGAAGGAATTCGTTGAATTCAAGCCACTTTTCACATGATATATATTTCCTGATTAGATGAGAATGTGAAGAACTTGCGAAACATTGAAATTAGTTCTGAGGAGCAAAATTTAGACTTCTAAGTATGGAAATATCGAACCATGTTCACTCTTCAGTTTTCAATATTTCGTATCTATCTTGGCCAACAATTCTTTTTTCCTTCTTCTCAAAAGTTTAATCTCACCATGGTGAGGCGAGGACAAGGTGCGACTGTTCGACAGATAAAGCATTTTGTTGCTCTTCATTCTAATCGGCGGTCGAGACCTCCAAGGTGCTGATGGTCTTCCACCGAGGCATGGGTTCGAGCCCCAGTCAGGCCAGGGATGTTTGTGTTTGTATGCTTCTCTAACACCGCACAAGTGTCGACTTATGAGGTGTTTGGTCCCAGTCACTTAGACGGGACAGTGTTGTGTGTGCGAAGGTAGGACAATTTGTGAATTCAAGTTGTGGGAACCCATGATAAGGGATGAATGGCACCAAGGTTGAGTGGTGTAGATATTAGAACACCTAGGAAACAGGGTGAAGTATATCAGGGTACTAATGATATTGGTGAAAATAGGCAGTTGTTTAGTAGTAGAAGGAAAGATAATTCTCAATTTGAAGGTATTTGGCCATGAATAATGAAAAACTAATCGCCTGCGCCGCTTTTTTCTTTATGATATATTGAATAATGAATGTACTCTTCTTTTGTTTTTAACATCTGGTCACCCTACCTGTATAGGGACTATCACACTACCATAAAGAGACTGGTTCTTCGTGGTGTTAATGTAATATTTCGACCACCTCCGAGAAAAACATGGTTTTGTTCTTACCATTGTTTCCGCGAATCCTGTCCTGCGGTGTCTGGTAGTGGATTCGCCTTGTGTTGATGTTTTCGAGTGGAAACGGCGACGCTTGTCGATGCAGAGGAATAGGTGACCTTGGCGATGCCATCGAAGGGGGCGGCGTCGGGAAGGGGGTGGTGGGGTTGTCTGTCGTCATCGCGTCCTCGGTGTCGTCAGATCGGTAAGAGCGGTCCATACCTGAAAAAAAGAAGTTGACATGACCAGTGTGGAAAGTGACATATGTCGCACGAGTTCAATGTTCCCTTGACAGATGGTAAGGAACCTAAAATCTCAATACCAAGGAATTCCAGGAAGATTTCGTGAATCGATTTTCAGCTTTGCCAAGCCTCATCAGTTGCACTCGACCAGCTGACAATAGATAATAAGTTCAAGAAAGGTACTACTATATATAAAGTCAATCAAATTCCCTGAAGGGTAGGAGGGCGATCTAGCCCTATGAGCCATCTATACCTTTTCAACTTCAATTTCGGAATCGGTGAGTTATATTTCGGAAAAAGTAATCTCGGTTTCAGAATTGGTTAGTTCGATTTCAGAAATGGTGAACTCAATTTCAGAATCGGTGAGATGAATTTCAGAAAAAGTCCATTCAATTTCAGAAATGGTAAGTTGTATTTCAGAATTATTGCTAGGTTCAGTTTCAGAAGATGAACCCTTTTATATGTTTGAAATGTTTTTAATTGCAAAAGAGAAGATTGTTTACAGTGGATGGAACGGTGTTTGAGAGCCCTATGTTGAATCAGATTGAACATATTAATATATGGGGTGCCTTCAAGTCAGAAGTGAAGAGCTTGTTGCAAGAGCATCGTCAAAGGGTCATAGCTATGGATCCGAACAGATTGCTCAACCAGATATAATTCAGACTGCAATGTCTTGAAGAATGTGCAGATCATTCAATGAAAACGATAACACCTCAAATGTGTTGGCATTCTTATAATCATGTGCAACGTCACTATCTTCCAGCGATTCAGATGGAAGGCATCTGTGGATTAAATTGTTTTTGAAAAGTTGGATATTTTAAATATGGTTTGTTAATCTCACATGCAATTGGAGACATTTCGAACAAATATAAGGATTTTTTTATGATATTGAACCTACCAATTCTGAAATTGAATGGAGTTTTTCTGAAATTCATCTCACCGATTCTGAAATTGAGTTTACCATTTCTGAAATCGAACGAACCAATTCTGAAATCGAGATTACTTTTTCCGAAATATAACTTACCGATTCCGAAATTGAAGTTGAAAAGGTATAGTCGCAGAAGTGCAAAGGTGTATAAGTAGATCGTAGGGGTATATATTCGACGTACTCGCAAGGTATGGTTGTTTGAACAATCTATATATCTATCTATGAGCAAACTAGGAAAAGATTATTGAACATACCCCTCTTAACTGTAGACATGTGTTTCGGGCTTTTGGCCTTCATCAGTACTGTGAAAGAAGTGCAAAAGATAGGCAACACTTGGTGGAAGAGGAAACAACAGATCGACGAAGTCAACAAACAGAAGCCAGCCGCACAATTATTGTAGTTCAGGTCAGAAGACCCTGCATTTTCAGGGCTACAACTAGCATCACCACGGAGACAGCTTTAGCTACCTACGTGACATCCAAGTCCAGGAGTAGAATTAAGATGGAAGGAATATTGAGAGAACCGTGTTGCCTATCTCTTGCACTTCTTTAACCGTACTGATGATGGCCGAAAGCCATAAACACGTGTCTACGGTTAACTCTTCCTGAGGGCAATGTCCAATAATCTTTTTCCAGTTTGTTCAAAACAGTTCCCTGAATATCCCCCCATCTCCCATCTTAATTCTACTCCTGGACTCGGATGTCACGCTGTTCTATATATCGGCAAAAAAAATCAAAAGGATTGCCCCTTCTTCTTTATATAAGTATTTCTCCCATAATAAATCTTCAGTTGATGGCGAAAGCCATATTGGCAATTATTAGTGATCGCTGAGCTCACCATATATTTGATAAACTCAATGTTGATACCTGTCTTCACCACTTGGATACTGATAACAGAGTAAAAAGCTCATAGTTGTTGAGCACTTTATATTTCTATGGGGATTGCCCGGTGTCAATTCTGGTACACACACTTTTTGGAAATAATGGGTAACAATGTGCAAGTTATGGAGGTGAGCGTATGAACAAGATTGCCTCGTGCAGCTCATACATCTATGAAATGAGTTGCTGAATGGATGATTAGTAATGAAGCAAGTATTATATGTTGATTGAATGGTTGTTGACATCGGGAATTTGTGTTGGTTCCTTGATAAGCAGCTCTGAGTCGTGAGTGATAGCGAAAGCTTCGGCTTGTCGACCAGCTTCATTTGGTTCGTTGCAGTGTATCTAGGATTCAGCAAGAGGCTCCGCTGACAGAAAATTAATGAACTGGTGGGTATGTCTGGGTCGTTTCCAACAGACAGCTGAAGCAAACTTCCCAAGCACCAATTCGAGACGATTCTAAGCTATCTACCCACTCATTATATGTCGAATTGTTACAATTACCGTTTACCGCATCGTATGCCTGCTTCTAATGTATCTACACCGATACAACTGATGTGGAAATTAATTGAAACGGGGATATCAGGCAGTCCACATAAATTAGAGACGATCTTCTGTTTAATTGTTACATTAGATGATCAAATGTAGCGGAAAAGGAGAACGTGAAAACGAAATGATGCTGTTAACAATGAACTGTTATTGTATGGAGATTTGCAGAGTCAGACGAAGCGATGTGAACACCGGATTTATGCTGCAAGTGGGGTGGACTGAAGATCGTCAAATGGTTGGGAGGGCAGGAAATTCAGTTCTTCCAAGATTCAATTCTACTTTTCCATCGATCTGAGAACGTCGAAATGTAAATAGAAACATATATTGCAGAAATATATCGAATATTCCTTACAGTTCTCCTCGAAAATAAATATACATGACCCTGAAATATCCAGGGAAAAATTTGATTCCATATTTTTGATGTTAGTATATCATCATTATCATCATCATCAATAATTATTGTATCGAATGTTTCCCATTGCTTCTCTACTACGGTATGTATGTGGAGGTGTATATATAGCCATCCTTTTTTCTATTATTTCAACCGACTCTCTGCATCTAACGAATCATTATTCATTCCAATCCTAGCAGATTTCAAGAAGTACTGAATTTCTCATCAATAACCATATAGTATCATGTGGAAAGTCACGAGAATTCCGAATCTATACTTATTCCTGTTCAGTAGATCTAACGGAATACATTGTTGCCATAGCTCCTACTGAATTTCGAAATATCCTCAATTTTTCGTTGAAAATACCTCAATCAATCAGAACCAATAATTTGTTTCCTCAAAATTCCAAATCTCCGTAGGAGAATAACAATGAACCTGTTTCAGTGGAAAATAGTTTTTCATCATTTTGAACTATCAACCCAAACTTGTTTACTGCTGCATAATATTCCTGATAATTATTGGAATTCACGATATTTTGTAACATGAGAAAAGCGGAAAAACACGTGACGTCATAACAGCGATCTATAAATTGCACTTATGTATTGGGTATATATTTCAGTTCACTCCTACTGTGGAATTACATTCTTATTTCTATGTAGAACGCGGAAATATTTCCCTTCGTTTTTGAGCAATAAAACACTGATAATGATTTCGAGAGCTGGTCATTCCGATCATAGAGGAAAATATTGGGGATGATTTTGAATAATGAATGACTGTATCAGATACCGTTATTGCATGGAATAATCAAAACGAAATTTTTAGATACAATGAAAAAACCTCGATTTACTCCCAGAAAATAGGTTGAGATAGAAGGAAAATAATGGCCATAAACACATATTATCAAAACAAATTTGAAAAGTCAATACCGATTAATTTTCCACCTCGATTGTTTCACAGAGAATAGGATGAGATAAGAGAAAAAAATGGCTGTTTTAACATATCGTAGGAAGGTAGAAATTTGGAAAGAAAGATTGAAAAAACTTCAAGAAATGCTGTGATACTGCGTAATGATATTCCCCTTAGAAACATCAGCAGGAAGGCAGGAGTACAACGATCATCCTGGTACACGCATCCCAGATTGTTCTTCAACATTCCAATGATTTCTACATGTACCAGCCAATTTTCGAACACTCAATATATGTCGCGGTGACGAATAATGTGACAGAAGATTCTGGAATGTTCTGGAAACAATCGATGGAAGAATTAGAGAGAGTGATATTGTTCTAAGAAGCTTCAAGAACGAAAAGAAGGGTACAGAAGATCATTCGAGAACATTCGAGAAGCAATAAGGTTTACCAAGGGATCGACGTGTGACACTAGTGAGAAAAATTTTGGGACCAAAATAAAATTCGAGGTTAGACCCCTTTTTCCACTCAAAGTTCTACACTGTAGCAAATGTGACATCACCTCTGTATAAATTTCCATGCAGTAGGTACAATCATGCGGTGTTCAATCATTTAAATTGTTTTAAAGTGGCGTACTTGATTTGTTTATCGTATTGTGTTCAATTTTTGAGGAGAAATTCCTTGTTAATTAGAAGAATTAGAAAAAATCGGATATCATGGAAATATTCGTTAAACTGTATCATATTAATGTGATGAATATGTGCACTTATTTTCAAAAACACTTTGTATATGGACGGCCAGACAACTGCCGTCAGTCAGTCAAGCAGTGTCAGAAAGTCAGTGACATACCGCGTGATATAAATCATTTTACATAAATAGAAGTTATAAGTTCGATATAAATTAGTGTTCCTTCCTAGTTGCAGGATTTCATTTTGTGACGGTCCAAAATAGGCAAGATAAGAAGCTAGTTAGAGTTTGGATAATTCCAACAAAGAAGATAATAATTGCCAATGAGGTGCTATTAGAAGGAAATTGCTCAGACAAACCATAAGCAAACAATAATCGTCTTTGTACTCACTTTCTGTTATTATTATACGAAACCCTTATAATAGAAGTCGACTTTGGAACTATAAGAATATAAGAAATGCCACTAATAATTATTTTCGTTATCTGTAATTATAATTACTCCCTAGTTTGAAGCTTTCGTGCAGTATCACCATGAATAACACCCTATCTGATACATAAATATACCGGTAAGGAAACAGTAATTGGTTCTCTAACGCTCTTGAGTAAGCCGAATGGGAATAAAGGCATTCTCCAAGTCACA